AATATTTGGGCGTTTTGAAAAGTATTTCATTACATGGATGGTGAAAAGTCTTTGCTAATTTTTATCAGTTATGGCAACTTAGAATATCGCAAAAAGATGTTTTTACAAGTTTTTTTTCATCTTGCATACAGTCACAGAAAAAAACAAGTAATTCATAATTAATTATTATAACTCAAGTCTAGCAAATAATTATTTCCTAGCTGTAAAGAAAAGTTTAAATCTATTCTTGATTGTTATTGTTCCATTTAGGCTAATAAAAATTCAATCCTTAAACAGTTTTCTTTAAAGGAAAGTTTCGTGTGCTTTGAATTTAATATTTAAAACTAGTAAATTTTTAATTTTAATCATAATTTTAATTAAAATTTTACAAAATGAATAACAACAATAATAATATCAATTATTTTTCGTGCAGCAATTTGCTCCTACCACCACTACTGTTCCTACCACCACTATCGCCATCACTGCTGCTACTGATACCACTACCACTGCTACTCGTCCTCGGCAAATGCATTAAGTGGCAATCCGCGTGCAATTAAATGAGCACCTTGTCCGAATATCGTCAATTGAACAGCAATTGCAACAACAATAACTGTCATTACAACAAGTATCATCAGAGCAGCAGCAGCAGCGGCGGCGGCAGCAACTATCCTTACAACATCAACAACAACATCAACAACTGTCATCATTACAAGAACAACAACATCAATCGCTGTCATTACAACAACAACATCATCGATCACTTTTTGACATCTGTTACCGGAATTAGATTTTGACGCAGATCTTTTGATCGAATCTCTTAATTCCGGGATAATTTCTATTTTTATTTTATTTTTATTATTATTTAATCTATTCTTGTTTTCATTATTTTTATTTTTATTAATTATTTTAATTATTTATTATCATCTGAATTCGTATTACGTTTCGCGTATTATATTATTATTAATCAATCCGTAGCATATTTATATTTATTTAACTTCATTTAGTAGAGATTAATGACGATTCTCCCGGAACGGGCGGATTCGCTCAAAACGTGCGGGTACAAAGTGAGCGAATTCGCGCAATCTGGGCAAAAACGCACAATTTGAGCGGATTCGCGCAATTCGGGCTAATATGTGAATGAACATGTATATAAAGAACTTGATTTCGACATAATGTAAAAGCAACTTTCTTACAAGTTAATTAGTTTCGACTAAATAAAACTAAATAAATAAAATAGTAATATTTTATTTATTTAAACTTTTTATCTTTAACCAAAATTATTCGTTAATACCAAAATCGTTGATCCCCTATTCATTTTGATCCACACAAAACAAAAATAATTGTTATTAATCGGTGATACATCACCATTCGAAATTTTTTTTATTTTTTTTTTATAAGGTTATTAATTTATTTAGAATTTAAAATTACATGGTCAAAATTTCAAAATAATAGTAGTAATAATAATAATAGTTAAATTATTGTTTGATAATTACGAATACAGAGAATTGGAGAAATAATAATTAACAATAAAGAAATTTATTTATTAATGATAGACTTTTGGCATAGTATATCAAGCAAGGTTTAAATATTTTGGAACAAAGCTTTAAAGGGTTGTGGTGGTAGTGACAATAATCATAATCCCATGGATACAAGTTGGTAATAAAAAAAAATAAAATTATTATTATTAATATCATCATTATGACTTGCCCAATATAAATATATTTTGTTAATATTTAACTTATTCCAAATGATCTGATAATTAGATTCATTAAATTGAATAATAATATACCAAAGTTCATGCATGGCCCGCTCGAGTTATTAGTAAATAACAAGTAAAATAATAAAAAAACAATCTATCTTAAATTTTAATTTTTTTTCTTTTAGAATGATTAAACCGTTACACATTAAATCGTAATACAATTTTATTGCATTTTTTTGAAATTTGAGCGCGTGGCGCAGTAATAGGAGGTCTTTAGACCGAACCAACCATAGAAAGATCAGTATATAAAAATTATGTAAATTGGTGATTATACAGTACCTGGACAAAAGTTTTAGACACCCTTAATGTGTTAATTACACAAAAACATACATAATAAGTACACAAAAAATTATATCAATTAATAGTTTAGGTTCTGAAGATTATGTATATAAAATTTTATATCCCGAAATTTTCTAGAACTTAAAGCAATTAAAAGTAAAAAAATCCCAAATATTTTTTGGAAAAAATATTGATCATCAATTTTATCAGTAACAGTTACTATTATTATTTACAGATAACAATTTTTATCTTACAGTAGCTAAACCCTTATTGATCTAATACTTAGTTGGCCAACCCTTACTTTTAATGCATGCTTGAATTATTCGGGCATACATTCTATCTAAGGCTCCAAACGAATCGAATCGAACCAAACCGGATTCCTAAAATTTTTTTAACGTCATATTAAATTTATATTACACAGTGAATCTCAATTAGTGTGCCTCCATTTAATGAATACTAATGGATTGAGGTCTAAGAATGGTTTAATGATAAATAAAATTCTTCTTGATATGATA